GACGTTAACATTCTAACTCAAATGTCTATATAAAGATCCACACATCCTTGCGTGTATGACCCAAAAATCAAGTTAGATTTGTATACCTAAAGATCTAATAATATGATATGATTATTTAAAGATGAAATCAAGTTAGAAAGTATACCCGAAGATCTTCAATTTAACACGATTTTCCGATTCATTATGTTCTGAAAATGTTCAATGATATCTTCATTTTGAATGTAGCAAAAACTTCATTTTCAATGTAAACTACTAAGCAATTGTTCATCCACTCGTCTCCCATTCGATTACGCAAAGTATTCTTAACAAGATTCATTGCAGAGAGAACACCCTTCAACTGTTGCAGTACCACAGGTAAAACCAGTGATAATTTAATAAGCAAGAAAACTTTGTGTAAGCAACATCCTTCTTAAACTCAACCATTTTTTTTTTTTGCAAGATCGGCAATCCCATCAACATGAGTGAAATTGGCATTGGTGCTAACATCCTCATAATAGTTTTTAAGTTGATTATCGAGCAACCAAATATCGTGTGAGGAAAATCCGCAGGATAGAACTTTGCAAACTCAAGTAATCTGTCTATTAAATGTAGCAAAAGAGTTACTTGGATCAAGAGATGCCATACATTGAAGCAACCCCATATTTACTTTATCAAAACAATTATTGAGTTCTTCTTGAATGTTATCTAAAACCGTGTACATCAACCACCTTAAAATGATATTATTTGTAATTGGAGCAATTCCTCTTTTTGTCCTCCCAAAATTATCTTCCATGTTCTCCGAGATTGGTATGTCATTATCTTTACACAGATCATAAGCTTCTTTCAACAATATGTCGAAGCAAGTGTCTTCATTTCTCAATTTATGCAATCGACACTTCGAAATTTGTACAAACTGCATGGCATTAAGAAGATCTTGATCTTTTCTTTGTAATGCTTGTGACAGTTCATATGTGATTCCCAATACTTTCTTCATCAAGAATAACAAAAAGACGAATTCAAAATCTTCATGATTCGTAACAAACTCCTTGCTTCTTTTTCTTGGTGTTGTTATCGCTGTTGTGGGGTTTCTTCTTCTAATTGGGTTTGATTAACCTCAATATCAGTAGAGCCTCCATCAAGATTTTTGCTGGACTTTCTTTCAGTCTCTTGAAATAATTGGATATCATAATCTATTTGTTAATGCTTGGATTCCAAATCCAATAAACATATAATGAATTAGTACCGAAGTGGGATCCCAAAAATAAGAGACAAAGAGATTCCTATTAAAAAAAAAAAAAAAAACTAATTAATTTAGCAACTTAATTTTCTTGAATAAGATACATAAACAAATCATGATATATTTAAATTCATGATACATGATACATAAGACATTTTAATTTACATACCTATTTAACACCGTTACACACCATATATAATGCATTTAAATATTAATTGCATAGAGGCCATTGTTATATAGTGCAGGCGCCATTGTGTGGTTTAGAAAGGAAGTTCAAAAGTGATAGTGACAATCATCTTTCTCACATACAAACAAGAGCCAGGAAAACAAAGTAAAAGATAATAGAAAAGATTTTTAAAATATTAGGCAATTATTTGTCTCACCAAAACTAGGTCTGCCACTGCTAAAACTTTTCGCCCAAACTACTTTTCACCAAACCCAATACTCTAAAACGGTAGGCATTAATAAGATTCTTCAAAAGTAGTAGTATGTCATTTCGCATATTTCCTGCAGTTTTCAATATGTTTAACATCAATCTTACATACCTATTCGGCTACCCTTGCCATTTCTCCGCATTTTATAGCTTAAAGCACCCAAAATAATTAGCAGCAAAGCAGCCGTCTCATCTTCTTCGCTTTTCTACAAGGCTGCAACAATATAAATATTTATGTTAAATTATGGATTTGACCATCTAAAGAGCTTATTTAAACTTAAAACTTCAATATTTTAGTAGACTAACCTTCAGGCTTAAGGAGACGCGAATGAGAGAAGTTGAGAGGGGGATTTTTTTAATTTCTGGGTTGAGCTTCAGCCACATGTAAAAAAGGAGTTGGGAACTGGGAAGAAAAAGTTGAATAAGGAAAAGACAAAACCTAACTTTTTCATTTTTTAACCTTTTTTTTTTTTTTTTAATGTTTCAAAAAAACTTTGCAATTTTTTTTTTTTTAAAAGTTGAGGGCAGGCCTCGGCCTACCCTCAAGGGGCCTGGGTCCGCCCCTGCCAAAGAGTGAAGGGATTTTGAGTTTTTATAGAGAGCATCACTTATCTAATAGAATCCCACTTTAAAATAAGCACCATTATTATAAAATTTTAAATTATTAAGTATACCCCGATTTGGTCCAATAATGCCTTTTTCACTATTCTTTTTAAAATATTTATGTGATTTCGTCACTTTGTTGCTAAATATAAAGACTTTTTTAGCAACAAAATGGACGACAAATTTTTTCTTAAAGACAAAAATAAATAAAAGCATTTTTTTTTTAAAGAATGACAGTTTGGGTAAATAACTGTTAATATTGAGATTGTTTATTTACTTTGAAAGAACACATGTGACAATGTTTATTGATAAAATGCCATTTTGAATATTTGTTGTGGCTCTGAAAGTTTTTTGAATTTTTACAATATTAACTGCCCTCTTAAAACTGGGAAATTAATTAAGAAGTATCTAAAAACTGTTATTACTACAATTAATATCAAGGAGAAAGATTAAACAATAAACATATTTTACCCTTCTTTTTGACATGGATGTATTAGTAAGGGGCAAAAGATCGAGTAAGGAAAAAGCAAAATAATTTTTTCTTGGATTATTTATTAATAAATCCTGCAGTAATCATGTCCTTGTGCAGACTATGATTCCACAAATAACCTCATCTCAAGAGCAGAAAGTTAGGTATAAAACATTAATATATGTTGTTGTTCACATTTCACAATTAAATTTGTGTCTAATTAATTTTGTGTCCATATAGATGAATTAGCTTCATATATATATATAAGAATAAGCAGTAAAAAAAACCTAATTCATTACATTCCACTCACTTGCAACACATTCACAGTAACAAGTTGCAGCCCTTGATTCGAGTTGAGGGCGGGTTTTTGAGTTAGCTCACCTCGTGTGATCGCGACTCTTTGTCCTGACCGTTGTGGTACGTATGTTGCCAAGGGCAAGATGACTTAGACATTATCCTCACCTTCCTCCAGCTTATCATTGACAATTTGTTAAGAGTTCCACAATTAAGAAGAGCACTTGTTGCGGGACTTAACCCAACACCTTATGACACAAGTTGACAACAAAAAGCATCACTTATATTTGTGTTCCCTAAGGCACCCCTCTCTTTCAAGTGGATTCGCGACATGTTAGCCTTTGGTTATTTATTTATTTTATTTTTTTGGTATCTATAAGGTTTTTTTGTCAACTTATAAAGTTATATGTGCACATTATTTTATGTTGTTTGCACATTAAGTTATTTAAAGCACAATCATGTATGTAGTTTACACATGTAGTAACATATTGTATAAATGTGCGCACATTTCCTTTGTCTGAACATATTGCAAATATGTGTGTACATTTTATTTTTCTAATCAATTCTCTTAGTATAGGTGTCATATTTTCATTATTTGTTAGGATATTTTTCGTTTATGAAATCTGCGTGAAAGGTCCATTTAAGGTGTCTGATTTTTTAGAAGTGGTCCAAGAAAGTTGTTTATGCTTTTTCAAAGTGGTCCAACAAAGTTGTTGAGATCTTTCCTAAAATAGTCCAACAAGTATCAGTCTTTGTCGACTGAGTGTAATAGGGATTTGTTGAGCAAGGATTATATAATATCTTCTTCTTCCTTGCGTTTTCTTTGAACCTGAATATTCCATTAATTGTTCTCTAAAATTTCTTAGAGAGTTTTTTCATTTTCTCAGGTTCCTTTTGTTGTTTGTTCTTTAACATTCTCTTATTTTGTTTGAGTATTTTTGTTGGAACATGGTTTCTTTGTTGAAAGCTTGAACGTAGTTCAAGCTATGGAGTCGAAAGTAGATTTCGACCATTGAAACTTGAGTGGAGCTCGAGCTATCCAGGTGGTTTCTTAGACTCAAGCAATCTGTAGAAGAACGTTGGAGTAATTATACGGTGAAGTTAGAGTCTTGTAGAACGTGGAGTTGTTTACAATTCTTGTACTTAATTTCAACTCTGTATTGACTTAGTATGTGCTTGCTATAATAGATTTGCTTCATTTGGACATGGTCCCATGGATGTAGGTTGTTCACCGAACCATGTAAAAGTCCTTGAAAGCTTTACTTTATGCTCTTTCTTGATATTGTGTTGATGTTGAATGATTATTCCCCCAAGCATTAACGAACACAATCAACCCATTCTGAAAATGTTTAATGCTTGATTATACAAACTTTCAGTATCAAATTAAACCACATGCTTCGCCGCTTTTGAGGCCTTGTACATTCCTTTAAGTTTCATTCCTACGAAAGTACTCCCCAAATAGATACTTAACATGTTAACTTTACAACATTGCAAGTAAATATACACGTATCATCAAAATTTAATTGACTGTCTTCTTCCCATTCTAACCTCACAAGAGAGAGATTTTTCATGAAAACTTTAACTTAGTTGAGGCATTGCATATACACCATGGTAAATAATATTATAAGATAATATTGATATGTTAACTCATATATCATCTTCTTTGAACATCCTCCCTCCTTATATATATATATGTCTCTGTGTGTGTGTGTGTGTGTGTGTGTGTGTTGATGCAAATTTCTGTACTAGCTAGAGCGTCGGGACAAAGACACACGTCAAACCAAACACATGTCCCTAGTATTCATAGTTATCTTCAAGATAATCTATCTTTTCATTAATATAAAATTTCCAGCATGTAATATTCCTTCTAGCTAGTATGTTCTTTGGAAAAATATAAGTAAAACTCACTAACATGTTATAGAAAATATATATGTATATAAGAATATAATAGTGGGCCCAAAATAAATTTGACTTTATATACAAATCTCTACATTAAGTAACAAGATAACAAAAATAAGTACAAAGTAATCTTAGACAGTGGTGTCATTCTCCTCCGCTACTTGATGTTCCTCCCGACCGCATCTCATCTATTACCTGCAAAAACAGTGAAATCAATGGAGTGAGCACTAATTGCTTAATAAGTAAACCACAATACTTCTATTCTTTCTCTGTTACTCAGATCTTGGATTTTCTTTCCTTACACAAAATTTCTCAATTCTTCTTTGCCTTTTCTAAGATTATAGTTTCTCACTTACCGATATGTAAGCGCAAAGAGGGAAACTAACTCGGGATAGTAGAAATGGCCTGATGCATATGCACAAATGCATAAACTTTTTCTACGCATTGCATTTTCTTTTCTGTTTTTTGGTTTTCTTATTCTATTTTCTTTCTTTTTCTGTTTCCCTTCTTTCTTTTTCTGTTTCTCTTCTTTCTTTTCTGTTTCTCTTCTTTCTTTTCTATTTCTCTTCTTTCTTTTCTGTTTCTCTTCTTTCTTTGTCGATTGGACTCGGTTGAGGCATGGATTCAGAACCCTGGCCGTGTGAGTGGGTACAATCCTCATCTACATACACTTCTAATGGACTGTACAAATTCTTCTTTCTTATTCTGAGGCTGCTCACTAAAGGCGACATGCATGTACGTATGCTCTGTTGGGTATAGTCCTCATCCAAATGCACTTCTAACAGACTGTACAAATTCTTCTTTCTTATTCTGAGGCCGCTCACTAAAGGCGGCTTACATGTGGGCTATTCTTCTTCTCGGTCACTCACGGGTTCCCCATTGCAACAACCTTCTCTTCTCTTATCTTTTTATATTTCTTTAAATAAATTTCAGATTTGAACTTCTTTAATTATATTCTTTAGAGGATGATTCTACAATTTATTTCTTTTCTTTCTTTCTCTTTATTCTTTAATGTTCTCATATATGTGTATGTGCATGGAAATATGCTCATTCTTTGCTATTCTTTCTAAATGCAAATGTGAGAATGTGAGAATGCATTATGGCATATAAAGATATCATTGGGGAACTAGTATTCTCTAACAAAAATATTCCCATACTTGAAATGTAATGACTCTTTCTAACTTATACACTTGGGAAATATAGTACATTAAAAAACACATAAACATATAGTAAAAGATAATGGGCCCGAAAATTTCTTTACTTTATATATAAAATTCTTACATTAATAAAAATCTCATGTACATAAGCTCAAAAATAGTAGACAGTGGTGCAATTTCCCTCCACTTCTCGACGTCCATCTGACCGCTTCTCACCTATTTCCTGCAAAAAGAAAGAAATAAACGGAGTGAGCGCTAATTGCTTAGTAAGTAAATCTGATAAACTAGCCTTTTCTCTCCGTTGCTAACATTCTAATTTTTTTTCCTTACATTACTCTATTCTTATCTCTTTGTTCTTTCTTTCTTTCTAATTTCTCAATATTTCTTCTCTCTTTCTTTCTTTCTAATTTCTCACTACTCATGGTGGTAGGCATAATGCCATGCATAAGTGTGATGCACATGTACAAATGCAAGAAGTGCACATTTTCTTTTCTGTTTTCTATTCTTTCTTTCTTTCTATACTTTCTCTTCTTTCTTTTCTTCTCTTATGCTTTCTTATTCTTTGCCGATCGGACTCGGTTAAGGCATGGATTCAGAACCCTGGCTGTGTGATTGTATTCTTCTTTCTTAAGTACAACCCTCATCCACATGCACTCTTACGGGCTATACCAATTCTACTTCTTATTCTTAGGCCGCTCATTGATGGCGGCGTGCATGCGGGGAAATTCTTCTTATCACTCACGGGTTCCCCATCGCAACAACCTGTTCTTTTCTTCTTTTAGAGCATTCTTTAATAACTTTTCTTTCTTTCTCTTTATTCTTTAAGTTCTTATACATATGTATATGCATGTATGTAGATGGCTCATACTCATAATTCTTTTTAAATGCAAGGATGTCATGTAGCATAAAAATAAGTTTCTCTCTACCATCTACAAACTCATGTCAATTCATAAATGAATAAAACTCATGCATACACTTCTCTTGGACATTTCATCAAACATATTGCATGCATAATCAAATTCTAATTTGGCTACAATTCTATCTCTTTCTCAAGTCACCAATATTTGGAGTAAAACTCCATTAAACAATTACTAAACCTGTCCAAAACAGTACACTCCCAAAAATTCTACTCAACTCTTTCTAACTTCAACCCAACTTCAATGAATCATCAAACAAACAACACCACTTTCCATGGCTAAATTCTACTTAGCAATAATCATCAAACTCATCAATAATTCATCAGTTTCATCGACAATTCTCAAAATCATAAGCATATACACATATGTAAAATCTCTACACCCTTGATTTCTCAAATCATAACTTAGGTTGGATTTACTTACCTTGTGCTTGAGTAATTCCACTAGAATCTCTCTTTCTTTGGTAGACTTATTCTTTCTCTAAAACCTAAACATAAACACTATAAGAATTCAACACTTTTTAAAATTAATCTCACATCTATTGCAAGAATTCTTACCTTTGGGTGCTTAGGATCAAATCTCTACCAAAATCCAACCAAAAGCCCTCTAAAATCCCTTGGAAATTTGATGAAGAGATGAGAGAAATTGAGAGTGGAAGTGGTGTGAGAGGAAGTAGAGAATGATAGGTCTTTGTGCTTGAACCCTTAATATCTCATATTAATAGACATACTTTCCCATTTTGCCCTTACACTTTATAGAGAATTCCATCTTTGTCCCTTAGTCATTTACACTAATGCCCTTACTTTTATTACATTCTCCATCAAATTTCCTTATTTTTTACTCCCCACATTTTCAACTAATTAGGGGTAGAATGGTCACTTTGTTTTCTCTTCACCTTGGCGAAAAACTCCAGAGAATTCTTTGCCCCTGCGAAGTTTTTTCTTCGCCTCGGCGAAGTCTAAAATTTCTAACACAAATTTGGGCAAAAGTTCATTACCGCGTCGAAGTTTGCAAATGTCGATTTTTCAATCTTTCTCCTTAAAATAAGCAAAACTAAGGGCACAAAAGCATAAATAAGTTACACACCTCCATGTGGGCATTACAATTCAATCGTGGATTATTAGATTAAAAATAAACTAATAAATTGGAAGCATTCTTGAGGTAGTCATACTACACATGTTATATTTAAGAAGGCATATCTTGAGTTACACACATCGGATTGCTATAATCTTAGTCTCATTTTAAACATTAGAGAAAGGGCTACAACTTTTATGTTTAGGTCTCAACCCAGTTTGATAGGTAAGATACCCAAAAATCACTCAGAAGGTCACGGATTTGACAGGGCAACCTTGGTAACATGAATACTTTAAGGCTTTTCCATACCTATTTACCTCTACTTACTCCCTAACCTTTCCTAACCATTCTCCCCTGTGAAAACATGTTAAAAGATCAATAATAGACAATCAAACTTCAATTCTTGCCTTTCTCTAACCCTTTCTTCATTAGGATTTAGCCAACTCATGCATGCAATTTCTCTTTGGATTTTCATCAAACACTTCATATGCACATGCAACTATCATGTTGGCTACACTTCCACAACTCTCTAATTCAACCAAATTGTGAGCCAAAAACTCACTAAATTTAGTATCAAACCTGGCAAAATTTATACTCCAACAATTTCATCACAAAATCTTCCACAACTTCACCAAATCATCACATAACCATACACTGCTTCTCATGGCTAGAATTTAAACATCAATAAACATAAAAAAACAGCCCATAATTCTCTCATATCTTCACATACAAACATGCAAAAATTCATTCAACACAATTCTTGCTCAAATTAAGGTTCAAATTAGGTTTACTTACCTTGAATATGTGAGATCCCTTCCCTTTTGCTCAAAATCTCTTCCTCTTGGACCTAGATCATATAAAAACCATAAAAATTTAAAACTTTAAAGTTTAATCACACTCCTTTTGCTAGAATCTTACCTTAGGATGCTTTAGGATTGAAAATATATGAAAATCCAAGCCAAATCTTATGATTTCCCTTTGAAATTTAGTAAAGAAAATTGAGAGAAAATAGGGAGAAGATGGCGTGAACAAGGGCTGCATTTTGGTTAGGGTTTCTTCAAATGAAACCTTATATCAATTAATATAAGCATGTATTCTCATTTTGCCCTTGCACTTTCTATGAAATTTCATCTATGTCCTTTAGTCAATTACTAAAATACCCTCATTTTTATTGTCTTCTTCACATTATTTTGCTTCCTTTCACTTCCCACTTTTTCATCTAATTAGGAGTGAAAAGACCATTTTACCCCTATTAAACTTTTAAGGAATTTTCTTCACATTTGTCTAAGGTAACTTCAAAGAAATCTAACTAAGGGTATTAGGGCATAAGTAAAATTACGTACCTTGATGTGGGTGTTACACAGCAACATAATTTTCTCTGAACCAAACACATCAGTTCTGTAATTATGCTTGTAATGATATATGGAACATGATTGGAGGTTGCATGAAAACATTATTATATTAATTTAACTATATTTCAGTTAAATATTTATAAAAGAATTTATTTAAATTTCGTAACTGATTTGAAAACTCAATCGTACCTCTGATTTAAAATTAAATCAATTATTAAAAATAGAGAAAATTTAAATTTAATCAATATTATTTTAATTAAATTTTTTAATGTAATAATTAATTAAATGGAAACAATTATAAATTGTGTCCCTTAACCCATCCTATTACTTGATACAATTAACTAGTATACAATTAGTATCCACTTGTTTATTGTGTAAGTTTAAACTATGAAAACTTCAAACAAATATTATATTACATTATTTAATATTATAAGGCGTTCTTGTACTATACAATAATTTACAACAGATATCCTATGTCAACACGATGAACAATGTGATAAACAATATACATAAAATAAACCCTTTACAGAGGCATTAGCATGAACGTAGAATTCAACTTAACCCACTCAAACTTTGAAAAACAATTGAAAAAAGAAAAAGTTTTATATTTTATAGTATTTATAATTTTGACCTCACTTAAATTTATATTGAACCCACTCAAACTTTGTAAAAAAAAAAAATGCTTTATATTTTATAATATTTATAATTTTGACCCCACTTAAATTCATATATATTGATGTAACCAAAATTTATTATAAATTTATCAACTTAAATGTTTTGAACAAACTCACTAAAAATCTTAACTATGCCCCTGAGCATTAGTCTAATATATAACATAGATTTTTTTTTTTTTTTTTTTTTTTCACAAGAAAGAACTAAGCTTTGATCAATATACTTCAGTGGCATGAAATAAGAACCTCGAGTAAACGTTACATATACACTATAATATTGTCTTATTTGCAATGTATTATCGGGCTCATGTATTATAGTAATCAATGTTGTCTCAAACTAAATAGAGTAATTTTTGTAATTCTTATAGCAGGAAGGACACTAGTGCAATTAAGAAAATATATTTATTTCATATAAATATGTTACGTTTAGTATATATTGTGTTGGGTGGTAAATTCATGCAAACTGAGTCAACAACACCTGTCCCTAAAGTGCCTTATCAGTAGGACGTATGTCAACTCCCTAGAAAACAACTTCTTCTAGAAGCCACGAGAAACTTCAAGGGAAGAAAGCCAGCCGCCTCTCAAGGCCACATGTCAGTCTACATGTGGAGTCCTTAACCTCTAAGTTTGCAAGTTTTTTTTTTAGATCACGTGTCAACTCGCATGTGGACTACTTCACCCATGAACCAACAAATGCGAGGCCACATGTCGGGCTGTATGTGAATTACTTTATACTTAAGATCACCATTGAAAAACTATATAAAGGGGACTCTTATCCCAAATTAAGGATCCAAAATTTCATTTTCTCAATAGCTATAGAGCATTTACCTTTGTTTAGAGAAAATATCTATTGTAAACACGTCTATAAGATAACAATGGATGTAGGAATTACGTCTTGCATCCGAACCATTTTAAAAACTGTTCTTGCCTACTCTTTTATTAACTTTTATGTACTTTATTTACTTTCACGTACTTTACTGTTATCATGGTTACCCACAGGTTCAACATCATACTTCACGGTCTTTCACAGATCCCTTGTGCAACCTTCTTTGAAGGCTTGCATGCATACCTCTCGTTGATGTGAAAATCCGCATCAATATAATCTGCATCAACATATTGGATGGAGTTCACGCAGTTTTGAATATCACAAAGTGATAGAAAATAAAAGAATAAATTTTATCTCATAGTTTACTAGGATTTGAATAACCTTAATACTTTGCAATTACTCTTTAATCGAGAGGTTTAGGCAAATTCATGACTGTTCTAATTCTAAAATTATCAAGGATTGATATTTGTAAACGACCTAAAGCAGTTTGAGGGTAAGCTGAGAAGATTGTCCAAAGACTTCAAGGCTTATATTTAAGAATTAATTTGAGTAATTAAACTGGTTCGTTAATCCTATACTTCTAGGGATTGATCACCTCTCATTAATGTAGAAAGGTTTTTATTGAACCACGTCTGGTTATCTTGTCAGTGATTGATTTTAATTTATTTTTCTGCTTAATATATAGCATCTCACAGACCTTATTCCAAGGTAGTTTTCCCTAACACATAGAGGAACAGACAAATCACTCTTTCTTGCATGTAGAGGAAACGCTTATTGAAAGTTAAAATAAGGGTTAATAACAATAATCCTCCTTAGGTATAATTAACAAACAAAAATCCTTATTAGTTAAAGAAATAGCAGAAATCCACGTACTGTTAATTTTTTGGTGTTAAAGTAAACGGAGTAGGGGTATTTAACTAAATATTAATTCATCTATCACGTTATAGCCTCTAACGGTATATTAACAACTAACTAATGACCAAGATTTCTGTTATTTCTGAAATCTCAAAGTTACTTTTATGATTTGAATAAAACTTAGGGAAAACCCCTTAAAATTAAATGAACATAACGTATAACCTCTTGTTAAGTTGAAGACATGAAACGGTGTAGTTTTGGCCATAAGTTGTGCAACATCGTTTTGGGAGATGCTAAAGTGAATCCTAGTCGTTGATTAATCTGACTTCAGATCCAATGGCTGAAAATCAACTCTTAGTCAATGGTATATAAAGGAGCAAATATTGGGAAATTAGCAAAGTTGTTCTTTGTGTTTGCTAGAGCGATTTTGTTAGGGTTCAAACATTCAATCTTTGTAATCTTGGGTGAGTGAGTGATTGGTTTTCATTCAGGTGAAAGGGGTTTTGCTCTCAAGTTCTTAGGGAATCTGATAGTGTTCTTTAGATACATTAAGAGTAAGATTGGGTTGTATTTTGAGTGATTGATCTTCGGATCTGTGGTGTAAACTCTTGAATATATTGATTAGTGCAGTAGGCTCCTCCGATTCCGGAGCTCAACGTGGACGTAGCCTATCCAATCTTGGATAGGTGAACCACAGTAAATCTGTGTGTATTGCTATGGTTTGTTATTTTGTGATTTTTGTCTTAATTGTGTGTTAAAGATTAGGAAGATTTTCATAACAGTGGTATCAGAGCTTTGGAGATAGGATCTTGTTTGATTTCTGAGTGAAAAATTTGTTCAATTGAAAGTTTCGAGAAACCTAGGTTTGTGAACAATTTGGGGCTTTTGTGTCTAGGCGTCTCCTTAGCACTCCAGGGTTTCCAAATTGTAAAATCAAAGGTGAAATTCATTGATTTGATCCGTTCTTGGAAGTCTAGATTTTCGTTGGGGATATTGAGTCAGAAATCAGAATTGAACCTTTAGGGTTCAATTAGAGTGAATCTTGAAGCTTCTTTAATAAACACACAATGTCTACAACTACTAGAATGGAAATTACCCAATACAATGGGAAAATTGACTTCAGTAGTTGGAAGAAAAAGATGAAGGCACTGCTCTCCCACAACAAGGTGGCTCTGGCTTTGGAGAAGAACGCCGAGAAGTGGCCTGAGGATAAGCTGAAGAAAAAGGCAAAAATCGATGAAGAGGTGTACAACCTAATCATCATGAACTTGACAGACAATGTCTTGCGGAAGGTAGATGGCCTAGAGACTCTTCTGGCCTTATGGGGTAAACTCGAATCACTTTACGCTTTATAATCTACACCTAATCTTGCATTTTTAAAGGGTGCATTGTTTTCATATAAGATGGATAGTTCTAAGTCTATAGAAAACTGTTGGAGTTAAGTGAACTCTATTGAATGTTAGATAACCATTTTAAAGTGCAGCGGAATATTTACCAAGTAGATTAAGACATTTTCAGTTTAACCACATCAAACACAAGTGCAGAAAGTAAAGAACACAACCATATACATGGTTCCGCTAAATCCACTTTTAGCCTACATCCATGGGACCTTGTCCAAATCAAAGCAATCCACTAAGTCAAACACACATTACAAGGTAACATTCAAAGTTGATCTAAGTTACAGTAAAAAGAACTCCCTGTTTAACTTTACAATTAGCACCATACTCTGAATCCTTAACATGTAGCAACTCTTGGATCTTCTTCACGTCGGGAACACACCCGAGAATAGGTTATGAACCACCAAGCTTCAAGTGCTGAAGCAACGCACCAGCATCAGCAAAGGAACCATGTTCCAACAACCATCAAGTCTATGTTTGATATGGTGAGGATTTGGCACACAATGGAATTGAACCTTGAACCTTAAGAGAAAGAATACTCAAAGAAATTCAGAGTAAAATGAAACAAAATGTCAAAATGCTAGATTCATACACGCAAGAAAGAAGATTATATAATGAAGGGTTTCTTGCTCAACAATATAGTGCCAAGTCAGCCAACAAAGGACTTACCAATGTTTGTCCAAATAAGGAAAGTATTCTTTCTTTTGGTTTGGACCACAAA